ACGTTCTTGGAAACCCTATACAGGGTCGCTATGAGTCGGAACCAACTCCACCACCACAATCACCACCATGTATTTGAAGCCCCCTCATGTTTGCAACAAGCCTGAGATTGCTGTCTTTAGAAAAGCCGGCTTTCAGGGTTGACTTTTGTTAGGCATCTGGGAACTTTGATTTTGGGAGTCTTCCCACTTTGTCTCTGAAAACAGAGAATATCAGAAAGATGTTTACCTGTACTTTATTGACTATTTAAAGGCTTTCGATTGTGTGGATCATGACAAGCTATGGATTACATTGCCAAGTATGAGTATTCTAGAATGCTTCATTGTGCTCATGAGGAATCTGTACCTGGACCAAGAAGCAGTTGTTCAAACAGAACATGGGAACACTGAAAGGTTTAAATTTAAGAAAGGTATGCGACAAGGTTGTATTCTTTCACCATACTTTTACTCAACCTGTATGCTGAGTAAATAATCAGAAAAGCTGGGTTCTATTAAGAAAAACATGGCATCAGGATTGGAGGAAGACTCATTAACAACCTGTGATATGCAGATGATACAACCTTGCTTGCTGAAAGTGAAGAGGACTTAAAACATTTACTGATGAAGATCAAAGCGCACAGCCTTCAATATAGATTACATCTCAATGTAAAGAAAACAAAAATCCTCACCACTGGACCATTAAACAACATTCTTATCAACAGAGAAAAGATTGAAGTTGTCAAGGACTTCAGTCTTCTTGGATCAACTATCAACACTCATGGAAGCAACAGTCAAGAAATCAAACAATGTATTCCATTAAGCAAATCTGCTGCACAAGACCTTTTTTTAAAGTGTTGAAGAGCAAAGATGTCAGCTTGAGAACTAAGGTGCGCCTGACCCAAGCCATGTTATTTTCAATAACCTCATATGCATGTGAAAGCTGGACAGTGAATAAGGAAGATTGTAGAAGAATTGATGCTTTTGATTTATAGGATTGGAGGAGAATATTGAAAGTGCCATGGGCTGCCAAACAACCAATAGATCCGTTTTGGAAGAAGTGCAGCCAGAGTGCTCCTTGGAGGCTAAGCTGGCCAAGCTTCATCTCTCATACTTTGGACATACTGTCAGGAGGGACCAGTCACTGGAGAAGGAGATCACGTTTCGTAAGGTGGAGGGTCAGAGAAAAAGAGAAAGACCCCCAGCGAGATGGAATGGCCAGGTGGCAGCATTGATGGACTCAAGCGTGGCAACAGTGGTGAGGTTGGCCCAGGCTCGGCAGTGTTTTGTTCTGATGTGCATAAGGTCACTATGGGTCGGTACCGACTCGATGGCACCTAACAACAGCAACCCACCATGTGAAAAATGTGGTTTATGCTAAACTCTTATTTTCTTTTAGGAAGTCTGGAATTTGGGTGTGTGCTAGGCAAAGTGTTCCTAAATGGTCAGTCTCTCTGTCGCCACGCCCCCAAATCACAGCAGTGAGTGTTTAATGGACTTCCTTGGGCAGAAATATCACACATACATTGCTGCATTTTTCTTGCTGGGGGAGAACATGAGGAAGCCTGCAAATGTTCAGCCTGTGTTCTTCCCTCTGTGATCAGACTAGATCCCTTACTAACCAATTGCTTGTCTCCATGACTTAGTTGGGCTCCGAAGCGTTTGCAATAGCTGAAATCCATTGGCCTGTCTTCTGAGGTGCCAGTGAGTGGACCTCAATATTTGGTTAGCAGCTGAGCTCATTAATGGTTTTGTACTACTCAGGGACTCTATATCCTCATGACAGTGCTGTGAGTACAATTATGAGTCATATGAGTTCTCGCAATTTCCAAATTTGTGTGTGTGTGTTGATGATAGGAAATGTTTTAAAGCTCTAATAATTGGACATTTGTTTTGTCTTTTTTTGCCTAAAAGGTGAATGGGAAAAGAAAACGATTCAGGATAAAATCTATTCTGACTCAAAGTGCTTTCTATGGGAGCAGACGACCTATCTTTTGGTCAAGACGACCTATCTTTTGGTCAACTGATGGGTTTGAACTGCTGACCTTGCAGATAGCAGCTCAGTGCTTACACAGCACCCACAGCACCACTAGGGCTTCTTTTTTACATAATAAGTGCTTGCTAAATAGATAGGTTATTAGCCCAAATGATTTTGCATTTTTAGGCATAGCATTTATCAGAAAAATTACCAGAAATGGATTTATGTCTTGCCAAGGCTGAATTAGTGTTTTTAGGGAAAAAACAGTACAGGTCTTTTATAGATTCTAAGTCTGTTGTCTGGTTCTGGGTATTTTGCAAATGAGCATTGTCTGTGTGTTTGTGCTCGTCTTCATCTAGGGTGGATCTGTATCACAGTTTCTTAGGACCATTTTTCCTAACGTCGATTACATTGGTTATACCCGTTACTCTTTAGGACACCACATTACATAAAATAGATGGAGGTAAATTTGTAGCTTTGGGAGTGAAAAGACCAGTAACGTAAAGAACTAGGTCACTCTCTTTGATGTTTTTGTTTTTGCAGAGTGAGTGGGGAGATGGGGGCATTGAAGGTTTGAGGAGAGAAGCAAAGCTTTAAGTCGTGGAGGGTAGTGTTTTCTTTTCCAATGGATTGAATGCAGGCATGGAGAAAGTGGTTAGGACTGGTGTTCTGCCAAGTGGACTTTGCACAGGTATTCTGGCCCACCTCTTTCTGGGTCTGTGGTAAGGTTGGATTGACACCTACCCCCACATCTACTTGAAGTTAAATGTAGCCATGTGACTTGCTTTGATGGGTAAGTCATGACATTTGTGGCTTCCAAGTAAAGGTTTTAGAAGCTAATGTTCCTTTAGCCGTTTCCCCTTCACCCTGCTCTGCTTCAGTGATCATGGGAATGCTTGCTGAAAAGCAGCTTTTTGTCAGCTTATGCACTGGCTGATCAAGCAAACTTGCAGAACTGGAAGTTATGGTCAGAGGATTTGTGGTTTTTCAGAATTACAATGGTAGGGCTAAGTAGAAATTTGGAGAGAGAAGGTAGTTAGAGATTAGACATTGAAGGAACTCTTAGGCATTGCACGCCTCTGTAACCCGGAAGATTAGTTTGTGGCAACTCTGTTCAATTAGTGATGACTTAGGACATAAAGGAATGACTCTTTAAGATAATAAATATTCAAGCTCTCTTATGTGGAACAAAGAATGACTAAGCAGATTCATAATTTAGTATTAAATTAGGTCTTCGACTTGGATCGCAAAAACAGATACAAAAATTGCTATATCGCTTTGTCAGAGAACAGGCAGTATTAGTTAGGGTTCAGGCTTAGCTACTCTTAACAGAAACTCCCAAATACAGTGGCATAAAAACTGCTTAAGTTTTATCCCAAACCTTTAGAATTAACTTTGGGTCTTTAAGAAATATAAAGGATTGAGGTATATAACATAGTGAAGGAATAGAAAATCCATTGTGGGATTTTATATAACTTTACTGTTTAAAGTGTAGTTTAGATTGGCAGAATCTCAGGTCCTATGTTAGACTTGTTGAATCAGAATCCACTTTTTAATAGATCCCCAGGAGACTCAGATCACTGACCTGGTTTCTTAAAACCTATGTCATAGAGAAATAAAAGGTGTGAAAACTGTTGTGAATGAAAAGAGGTGTTGAAAAGTGTGAGTTGTAATTGGATTGTGAGAGGGAAAACAAGAAAACCTAGAGAAGACACTTTTGGGTGATATTAGGGAATTACTGTTACTTAGAAGTGTTGATATGATTATGTAGAAGAATGTCAAGAGATTTATGCTGATTTAGGGGTGGATTGTCAGATGTTGTTGTTAAGTGCCTCTGAGTCATTTCCAACTCATAGGGACCCTGTACAGGGTTTTTAAAAAGCAGCTGGTGAGTTTGAACTGCTGACCTTGTGGTTCGCAGTCCAGTGCTGATCCTGCAGCACCACAATAGGAGTCCTTACTTTCTCATAGTTCAGCCAAAGAAAAGGAAAAAAATGTATATACACATACACTATATATGTGAAGGATGGTGGCTCTCTAGGATAAGCACTAGTCTGCAAACCACACAGTTGGTGGTTCGAGCCCACCAGCTGCTCCACAGGAGAAAGATGAGACTTTCTGCTCTCAAAAAGATTTATAGCCTCAGAAACCACCCGGTATGCAGGGTCGCTATGAGTCGAAACCAACTCAACAGTACTTAGGAGCAACAAAAACAAGCATATGTATGCATGTCTCTCTCTACACACAGAATTGATGTATGTACTTGTATATATATATACTGAAAAAACAGGAGCCCCAGTGTGGTGCAGTGGGTTAATGTGCTGGACTGCAAAGTCAGTTTGAACTGCAAGGTCAGCAGTTCAAGCTCACTAGCCGCTCCTCGGAAACCCTATACAAGGTCACTGTGGTTCGGAACTGACTTGGTGGCACTCAACAACACCAACAACAATGATAAAACAAATAGGGCAAAATGTTAGTAGTTGCGTGATCTAGATAACGTAAGGGCATTCATGATATTTACTCTTTTATCAATGTTAAAAAAAATTTTCTGTATTTAAAAAAGTGGCCAAAAAAGAGGCAGAAAACAATGTATTAGCATAAAGAAGACAGAAATTATTTCTCTCTCAATAATCGAGAGTTAGGTATTACAACACAGGTAGGGAGGGTGGGTTTACTTTGTTTGACCCCTGGCTTCCATCGCTGGTCCTGCGTGGCTCTTTCAGCTCCTATCTCCTAGCTAGTGCAATAGGGCAAAGGGCACATACCATGTCTGCGTCCATTCTGTTAACCAAAACTTTAGTGTTTTCTTCCAACTGGACATTATATATCTAGGGACTAGTAAACAGTCAAATGGAATGTACCATTTTTTTATTGGTTTACTGAGGAATTATCTCGTTTCTTTAGCTATGATTGATGTTTCCCTCTTCTTCTGTTGATTTACCAGACCAATTAATATCAAAGTCATTTTAGTTTTAATATACAGTAAATAAAATATGTAAGATTTGATTTTGAGGGCTGACGTGTATTAATTTTTTCCCTCAATCTTTTCAGTAAATAACAGATGCGGGTGAAGGAGCCTTCCAGTGCTTTACCTGAGAAAGCCAAAAGAAATAAAAGGCCTATTGCTGTACCCCATGATGAAGACTCTTCAGATGACATTGCTGGTAAATCATGATAATCCTGAGTGCTGAAGAAAAGAAGTAGCTAGCAATATAGGTTTTTAATAAATGAATCCATTATTTTTTATATGAATTGTGGAATCAGCTTTTGTGTAGTTCCAAGTATCCTGTTTTGTTTTGATTTTCATTGAGATTTTGTTTAACAAATAAAGTAGCTTAGAATTGATTCAGAGTCTTTATGATTTTGAGTCTTTGGAATTCATTTGCTTAAATCTTCTTTTATGACCCTTGATAGTGGTGGTGGTGTGCTGTGGAGTCGGTTCTGACTCATAGAGACCCTGCATGGGGTTTCTGGAAGCAGAAAACCTCATCTTTCTCCCAAGGAATGGCTGGTAGTTTCAAACTGCTGACTTTGAGGTTAACAGCCTGACTTGTAACCAGTATGCTACCAGAGCTCCTTATATATGTTGTTGTTTAGTGCCATTGAGTCAGTTCCGACCCATAGCGACCCCATGTAGGGTTTCTGAGGAGCAACTGCTGTGTTTGAACTGCTGACCTTGCAGTTCAGCACATTATTCTGCATTGCCGAACTAGAACCCTTATGTATGATATATACACAGATTTCATTGAATCCTTGTAAGAACCCTGCAGTGGAGTTATTTTTATGCCCGTTTTGTGTATGAAGGAACTGGAGCTCAAAGAGATGAAATGACTTGCCCAAGGTCACACAGTGGCAGGGCCAGTATTACACTCTCCAGCTGTACTTTCTCTGTTAGTGACCAAAAATTTTCGGTTGATATTAGGTGCCATCAAGTCAGTTCCGACTTACAGTGACACGGTGTACTAAAGAGTGAAACACTGCCAGGTCTGCACCATCCTCACAATCTTATATTTGAGCCCATTGTTGCAGCCAGTGTGTTAAGGGTCTTCCTCTTTTATGTCTACCCACGCTTTACCAAGCATAATGCCATCCTCCAGGGAATGTCCTAAATAGATGAGGACAGGGTGACTGGTTAAATGCTGGTTTGGTGGCTCTGCATATTTTATAAATCTGGAGCTGAGCCCACCTGACTGCAGGCACCAAAGCAGCGCAGTTGGCCCCCACTCACTGGTGTGGCTCTGAACTTCCAGAGAGCAGGATCTGCTCTGTGAGTGGTTGAGAGTGGGAGCTGGCCACACCTCTGGTCACCAGAGAAGTGGAGAAAAAGAAGAAATTGCACCTTTTCCGACTGTGTGAATCTGCTCTGCCAGGCCGCCTTCTGCTGTCAAAGCTGTTCACAAAATGGTAGAGTTGAGTCTGGCCAGCTGTTCACCAGTTAGTATCCCTCTCTCACTCTCCCTGCTTGTCCTCTTCTCCCAACAAGCACTCCATCCACCTCTCTAACCTTCCTTCTGAAGTTCAGGGTGCCAGAATTTTCATGTGTCTGTTTTATTTGGTCTCTTGTATCTTTGTTGTAGAGTCCTTGTAGTGCGTCTGCCTAGTGTGCCATCTTGCCTGAAATATCTATGTCTATTCTTACAACTTGTTACTGGTTTAAAACTAGGATTTTAAATCTGTCATTTAGGTCTACATATTATTTATCACAGATAAAATTAGGTGCATTTTTAGCCTTCAGGATGAAATGGAACTAATACTTAACCTCTCTTTCTGGGTAACTAATAGGTACAAAGGAATGCTCTGTATTTAGAAAGGAAAGTTGGAGAGAGTTGAAATGTTTATCGGTCTATTTCTTCAGTGTTTGATTTTAGTGGGCAGTTACACTTTTGGTGTTTGGAATATCTGAGCTGGAGAAATTGAAGTGTTCACACATTTGGGAGAAGTGAAAGTATAATTGCTCCCTATTAAAAAGAATATGATTATTTGAAGAACTAACATATTTGGTCTCTTTTGGCCATTTGTTTCTGTGCACTGCAGCACATAGTGGGAAATTGTTGTAAAGGATAATTTAGGGGCCTGGTAAAATAATTGGTTACTTGGGAATATCCATTAAGAATAAAGATTCTGAGTTCCTGTAAATTAATGCCATTGTTTGTTTCTTTCTCTGTTCATTCCAATGATAAACAAAATAGCATCATAACAAAGCTAGTCTATAGGAAAAGATTTTACTTGTATAACCTGATGGAAAGAATGTGTATTCAGAGTGTTTGGCACATAGCAGTGGTAGTGCTGCTGGTTTTGTGCTGCTGAGTTAGTTCCGACTTATAATTACCCAGTACAGGGATTCTGAGGCTGTAAATCTTTATGGAAGCAGAAAGCCTCATCTTTCTTCCTCAGAACAGCTGTTGGATTTGAATTTCTAACCTTGCAGTTAGCAGCACAGTGCACATTACCCATTCATTGTGCCACCAAAACTCCTTTGGCACCTAAAAGCTCTTCAGTAAGTGTTTTATCTCCTTTAATTAGTTTGTTTATTAAGCTTTATATTTTGAAATCATTATAGTTTCATAGGAAGGTACAAAGAATTGGACAGGGTGATACTGTAAGCCCTTTACCCAGCTTCCTTCAATACTTACATCTTGTAAAACTCTAGTAAATATCAAAACCAGGAACTTATTTTGATATAGTCCATAACATTTATTTGTATTTCACCATTTATACATGTATTTGAGTGTGTGTGCATGTGTGTACTCAGTGCCATGCAATTTTATTGTGGCTTTATACACCTGCCACAGTAATCAAGATACTTAATTATACTATCACCACAAGACTCCTATTATGTCACACACCCTGACCCGTCTTTCTGTCCCTTGGCAAGCACTGATCTGTTCCCCAACTTTGTAATTATATTTATGAGTGTTACATAAATGGAATCATGCAGTATATATCCTTTTGAGTTTTTTTGGTTTTCTTTTTAAAGCTCTGTGCTTTTTGTTTTATTTATATATGTATTTTTAAAGTATTTATTGTAAATTGAGTGAAAGTTTACAGGGCCGGTCATCAATTTTACATTCAACAAATCATATACTTTGTTTCATTACAATGATTATAATCCCCACCTTGTACCATCAGTTAACAGTATTTCTCTCTATTCCTTTTAGCTCTCTCTTTTTTTTTTTTCCAAACACTCAAGCATATATAATAATTTACACCACCAAAGGGCACATTCTGCAAGTCTGCCTTCTGGCCACCAGCTCTCAGTCCCACTCTTTTCATGAATCTAGAGTCCTCAGCTGCTCCCCCTCTCCATGTCCCCATCTGTGTCTCCATCTCTGGCATCCCTGCTTCTCTGGATAAGGTCTCGCATTCCACTTGTGCTCTTCTCCCTTGATGGTTCTAGGGTCCTCTGTTTCTGGACTGTAAGATTAACTACTCCCCTATTTTTGTTACAAAACTTCTACCTTTACAATTGTGACAGTCGCAATTAGTCATTAACAGTTACCCACTATTGAATCATAAGAATCTTATCCCCATCTCTTTTTACCAGACCCATTTAGACAACATGAAAACTATTCAGTAGGGACTTTTTCTACCCACACACACACTTTTAAACTAAACTCCCTCTTGAAACCTTGTAAGCCAGTCACTTTGTGCCTTTAATGCCCCTTCATTTTAGGTAGCCAATGTCTAAGTTGCCCATCCCTTTCTACCCTGTATCCTATCTGTGCTTTTCAGTTACAGCATTTTGTTGTTAACGGTAGCACTTTGGTTTAACAGCAACAGTATTTCAAATTTTGTTTTGTTTTTTTCAGTAGCCTTAATTTGCCAACATGTAAGTCATGCTATCAGCGTGAATCATGTAAAGAAAGCAGTCGCTGAGAATCTGTGGTCAGTTTGTTCAGAATGTTTAAAACAAAGAAAATTCTGTGATGGACAGCCAGTGCTTACTTCTGATATTTGGTTATGCCTCAAGTGTGGTTTTCAGGTAAGGAAAGTGTTATTTATGTATGAGTCTTTCAAATATTTTTCTTAAATGCTTATTGTCATTTGGATTATTGGTCATGCAAAGGACTTGAGATAAATTGATTTGATTTGTTTTTGCTTTTTTAAAGTAAAAATTATGCTTCATTCAGAAATTAATCATGTGTGATTTGTAAATACCTTGGAAGGGAATCCAGTCTATTAAAAATAGTTCCAAATCTCGACCTGTCTTTACATATTTGTATGTACTTAATAAATTAACCCAAGATTTAAAAAAAATCTTTCAAAGTTCATTTTTTGTCTCTGAAAGAAAATTATCCTACTCTTTTAAAAACTAATGTATCTCACAAATTAAAATCTGTTGATATATTAATCTATGATAAAGGAATTTTCAAATGAATTTAAATGTATACCTTTTTTTTCTGTAGAAGAAGAAAAAGAGGAATCTTTATTGTCTCACATAGAAAGTCTAGAAATTGGGGCTACTTCAGTGTTATTTAATTCACTGGAAAAATATTAAAAATTCAGGTTTCTTTTTTTTCTGCCAAGTTTACCTTCATAGTTTTAATCATTATGTTATCACATATTGTTAATCACTATCAACTTGATTCTGATCAGTAGTTCTCAGTGGAGTTGGGATGGAATTTGTCACAATGTTGCTAAGTGTGTGTGTTTTGGGATATAGAGGCAACTGCTGGCCTACAAGGATCCTCAGTATCCCATAATGCACAAGACAGATATGCATACATTTTGAATGGATATTAACTTTGCTCATGATTGCCTTCAGTAAATACTGTATGTTGTTGTTAAGTTCCATCGAGTTGGTTCTGATTCATAGTGACCCTGTATAGGGTTTCCAAGGAGCGGCTGGTGAGCTTGAACCATCAGCCTTCCAGTTCAAACTGACCTTGCAGTCCAGCACATTAACCCACAGTGCCACTCCAGGACTACAAAATACAATATAGTAAAAAGCAAATTAATCTATTTGCAAGACATTAAATTAATAATAATCTGTATTTGTTTGGAAATATCAAGTCCCACATTTCCCTTTTCTAACATGAAACTGTATGGAAATAAAAACCAAGTTATTGTCAGTTCTGTTCCCCTCTGTCCTGTTTCTGCCCTGACACCAGCTGTACATACATCATTTCTCCTCTGACCTTAACTACTTGGAGTTCAAGCAGACCTCACCGGTTGAAGGGCATAGTCCTTCAGACTGCCAAGTCTGCCCAAGACCCCATCAGACACAAGCTATTAGGAGTTCCCATGACACCTTCACATTAGACCGGCTTGCTAAAAATTACAAGTTTCCCACTACATCTTCAGGATGTGAGCTGTAAGCTTGGAATCCTCAGGGCTGCCCTCACTTGGAACCTGCTGGCTCCACTACTCCCAAAGGTTCAATAATTAAATAGAATGACCAGAGAACTCAGAAAAGTGATATGCTTACTATTACAGTTTTATTATGGTATGGTGCATAGAAATTAACACATATAGAGCAAAGTATGGGAGGGTAACTAGGAAGGCCCTGGAGCTTCCTTGTCTAGAGCCTTTACTAGGCCTTCATTAGCTAGTATGATTGATTAAATGCTTTCTCTGCCACTTCAGGTTGACTGATTGTAAGTGGTGGTTTCTCAGGCTTGGCCAGTCCCCTTATCAGTTATTACCATAAACTCTCAGGTATGTTCTGGAGACCTTATCAGACTTTTCAGTGACAGAGGAATAGCCAAGGATTTAGAGGTTACTGCTCTGGCAACAAAGACAAAGACCATATTCTTTGGATAAAGTTAGTTCTTTATGTTGCTTTCTGAAATTCTCCCTTCTGCTTGAAGTTTAAAAAAATAAAACCCTTTTCAGTATAAATTTGAGTTATAGTTGAAACTTTGATTAATCTGAAACAAATTTATATATTTTAAACCATACAAAGAGCATTCTGTTCATTTTCAGGGGTGTGGTAAAAACTCAGAAAGCCAGCATTCACTGAAGCACTTCAAGAGTTCCAGAACAGAGTCCCATTGTATTGTAATTAGCCTGAGCACCTGGATTATATGGTAAGTGGCATTTTGTTAGTCCTCACCCAATAGAAAAAATACCATTTTGTATTAAGCTTTCTTACATGATAAGCTATTTAAAGATGTTATCCCTTTTTAGCTTAGAGACTATAGGATAATTTAAGAAAATTAATATTACCCATATGTATAAAATTTAAATTGGAAAAAAATTTAGCCATCCCTTCACTTTTCTCTGAAATTTTGTGTTGTAAAGAATTTTTTTTTTTCCAATTGATTTTTCTTAATAAACTTGCTAATATAGAATTTCAGAGTTCAGAACTAAAAATACTTCAAGTAGTTAAGTGGTATCTAGATTCTCTGCAGGGGCAAGGCAAAGCCTGGACATAGGTAGTTAATCAAAATTTAGGAGATTCTGCCGCTTAACTCTGAGAACCTGGTTGAGTTTTATTTTATATAGGAGGAAATTGAGTATCATTTACTTTTTTGTATGTTTACAAATGGAAAACACAGGTGTGCTAAAAAGTCTTTTGATGCATAGTCTCTTACTGCGTACCATACTGATTTACTGTGTCAAATAAAAAAGCAAAGCCAGACTTTTATAGGGAAAAAGACTTTTTTTTTTTCGGAATGAAAAGGGGAAATAAGGGGCAAAATAACTATTATAATTGGGGTAAGAAGTCTGTGTAACAGAGGGAACACTCTGACCATACGATCAGTAAACCTCTTAAGAATTAGGAAAAGTTCTTCCTCCCTCCCTCCCTGTTTTATGAAGAGAATGAGAGTAAATAAGATTAGGAAAAACGCAAGTGTGTATAAGTAGGATAAAAGGATGAAGTCATCAGATGGTAAATCAAAATGTTTTATTCTGAGGCCATCTTGTTCTCTAGGAGGGGGCCTTTAAAAAGGGATAGTTTGCTGGCTCTACCACTCATCTGTCAGTTTGTCTAATGTAGTGGTTTGCTTGTTACTATGATGCTGAAAGCTGTACCCCTGCTATTTCAAATATCATTAGGATTATCATATGGACAGGTTTCAGCAGAGCTTCCAGACTAGGAATAGAGGCCCAGTGATCAACTTCTGAAAATTAACCAATGAACACCCTTTGGATCACAGTAGAATATTGTCTGATGCAGTGCTGGAAGGCAAACCCCCTAGACTGGAAGACCTTCAGAATACACAGTGGCCACAATAATGAACTTGAGCAATACTAATAATCTTGAAGATGGTGCAGGAGTGAGCAACATTTCATTCTGTTTTACATGGGTTCAGCCTACCAGATGACAACTAAGAAGGAATGTTAGCTCTGGCTTAGGGTCAAAGTTCAGAGACTTGAGGGGAGGGGAGACGTCTAACCAGTTTGGTTAGCATTTGTTTATGATTGGTCATTGGATACAATCAATTCAGGTAATTGCTTTTTGAAACAAGGAAGAGGAATTTGACCACATTTAAGGAGCTCTGGTAGTATAGTGGTCACGAATCGGGTTGCGAACCACAAAGTCAGCAGTTTGAAACTACCAGCAGCTCCGTGGGAGAAAGATTAGGCTTTCTGCTCCCATAAAGATTTACAGCCTCAGAAACCCAGTTCAGGGTCGCTACGGGTCGGAACTGACTCGACAGCACTTAACAACAACAACAAGGAGCTCTGGTAGTGTAGTGGTTACAAATTGAGTTGCTAACCTCAAGGTCTGCAATTTGAAACTACCAGCTGTTCAACGGAAGAAAGATGAGGCTTTCTGTTCCCGTAAAGATTTATAGCCTCGGAAACCCTGTGCAGGGTCGCTATGAGTCGGAACCGACTCCACGATCCTTAACAACAACAACTGAGTCATGGCTACCATATAGGACTGAGTAGAACTGCCCGTTAGGTTTCCAAGGATGTAATCTTCATGGAAGTAAACTGCCACATCTTTCTGTTAGAGAGCCACTGTTGGTTTTGGTTAGCAACCGAGTACTTAGCTGTGCCAAACAAGACTCCTTATAAGTCTGCAGCTACACAGTGGCAATAGGTTTGTTTGAGTTTTGGTGTCTGGCATTGTTTATTTTCAGTAAGTCATTTTCCTGAACACATGTGGTTACAAATATTTTTAATCATTGCTGTTTTCACAGGATTCAGGTAAAATTTAACATAATCAAGTGGTATAAGGGGGCACTGTATTGAAAAGGTGTCCCTATATTTTACAACAATACTTTTCCAAGTAGAACCTGTAGACGCCTTTGTCGTTGTTGTTAAGTGCCCTCAAGTCAGTTCCGACTCTTAGTGACACTGTATAGGTTTCTAAATTTTTGTGGTAGCAGAAAGCCTCTTTCTTCCATGGAATAGCTGGCAGTCTTGAACTGTGAACCTTGTGGTTCACAGTCCAGTGCTTATCCATCAATCCACTGCACTCCCATAGACTCCTAGGTTTCTTTAATTTTCAGGGATTCTCAACTTTTTTTTCAAGACAAAAAGTATTTTAATTTCATACTTTTATTGTAAGTTATTATTAGGTGGCTTCAAAAATTCATGGAAAAAAATCTATTTTTAAATTCCATTTTTCAGTGAACTTTTTGAAGCCCCTTCATATAAGGTTTATATGGTGGTGGGGGTGTGCCTTTGAGTAGGTTCCAACTCATAGCAACCCTGTATAGGGTTCTGAGGTGGTAAATCTTAACAGGAGCAGAAAGCTTCATCTTTCTACTGTGAGCAACCATCGTATGTAAATTGCTGACCTTGTGGTTAGCAGCCCAACATGTACACCAGGGCTCCTTAAGGATCATATAGGAAATCAGTTTTTAATTTAATACAGCTACAGGGATTTAGTGATGATGTAATGGCTCTTAACAACAACATTCTGCTTTTGTGTTTTTTTGTTGGTGGTGGTAGTTTCAAGTAACATTATTGGGGAGAATGAGAAAAGAGAGGGGAGCATAATGTGTAAATGATGCTTTGAAGCCAAAGGAAAGAGGAATAATGTCATAGTATGACAGCTCAGTAAAGACTATTAACTGCAAGGTTGGCAGTTCAAATCCACCAGCCACTCCAAGAAAGAAAGATGAGATTGTCCGCTTCCATAAAGATTTACAGCCTTGAAAACCCTATACACAGTCACTATGAGTTAGAATTGACTCAGTGGCAGTAGTTATTATAATGTAATCCTGCTAAATGTTATTAAGTTGTGTAAATTTTATCATGATTTACTGAAAGAGATGTTTTTTGTGGCTTGATTTCTTCACAGAACTATCTGTGTTTCTGTTTCTTTGGGCAAGTGATAGAGCAGGTATTCAATATACACGTGACTGCATTGTAAGTGTTATTTAGACAAGGGCCCAAAGGACCACTAAGAGTTTTAAGTGAGAAGATGATGAACATGTAAAGTAGTGTTGGTTTAACACATTACAGTTTATAAAACAGTTTCAAACATATACTTTTATTTGATCATTGGGTCTCATGGAGATGAACAAAACAGGTCATAGTAATATATATTAATAAATATATAGGATAATGAGTAAATTTGAAATGGAATATGCTTTTAAAAATCTCTTCTTCAAGTTTCCCAAATAAACTCCAAGTAATTGAAAACACCTATCTCTTTCAGTCTTCCCATCACTCTAAGGGGTGCCTCCATTAATCAAGCCAGAAACCTGGCAGTGATTGTCCCCCTTTTTTATCCTATTTTTTTAAACCTTTTAACAGAAGTACACAGAAAATATAATCTCCTTAGTTTTAACGAATATTAACTTAAAACCAGCTTTGTTTCATGTAGACTACGATTTCTCAACCTCAGCACTATTGGCATTGATGCTTGATAGTCCTTTGTTATGATGCACTGTCCTGTACATTGTAGTGTGTTTAGCAGCATTAGTTGCCAGATGCATAACTCCTCCCCAAGTTGCGTCAACTAAAATTGTCTCCAGATATTGCAGAATGTTCCTTGAGCATCAAAATTTTCTCTGGTTGAGAACTATTGATAAATTCTCACTTTTCTCCTGCCATGACAGGTATTTTGACATTTTCCTCTTCCTCGTCTTTTTAATCTAATTCACTGCATTCCCTACTTGAAAAAATATGTGTCTACTTTTCTCCAGATCTTTTGCTTCTGTCCTAATCTGTTTCCATTTCTGTTGTTCTAGCTTAGTCACTTGTTGTTCATGTGTGTTGTCTTGTCAGTTCTGCCTCATAGAGACCTTGTATAGGGTTTCCAAGAGTGGCTGGCGAGTTATAACTACTAACCTTGCAGTTACCAGTCCAGTGCTTATTCTACAGTGCCACACATATTAGTCAAAGTTTTTCTTTTTTTAATGTGATTTGGCTACTATCACTTCCCTACTTAAAAAACCTTCCTGGCATTCCATTACATTTAGGATAAATTAATAAAAGTTTCAGTTGACCCATAAGACTCTGAATGCTCTGTCCCCTACTTACTGCTCTAGACTTACCTGGTACCTCCTCTCTACCCCTCACGTAATTTCAAAACAAAAAGTAATTAGATTTCAATTGTGTTGCCTTATGTATAAAATTATCGAAAATGCTTTCATAATATTCACTTAAATGTTATATTATTTCAGGTGTTATGAGTGTGATGAAAAATTATCAACACATTGCAATAAGAAGGTTTTGGCCCAGATAGTTGATTTTCTCCAGAAACATGTTTCTAAAACACAAGCAAGTAAGTTAAACAAATGTTAAAACAAATTTGTATTAAAATATGACGTCTCATACTTTTTATAAAGTTTATAAAGAGGACCTTAGATTTGACTATGACATCTCAGTCTACAGTTGGAGTAATGATGTTCTTCAGTCTCAGTAATGCTACTGTTTGGGATTTCTGTAACCAACATGAAGAGCAGGTGAATGTCGTGAAAAGATCATAAGTGGTAGAGTCAAAGATTCGGCTTTTGGATTTAGATCCTACCACTTACTGGCAATGTGACTTTCACTTGTTGATTTCTTTGCTTCCAAAATTATGATGATAATTATATCATGTGAAGCTGTGAAGCTTAGACATTTTTTAAAATTTGGAAGTGTGTAAAAATGCTTGCATAATGCATGACACATATTTACTAATTATTATCTGTTTTTATTATCCAGTGCATGTTATAAATGATGCTATCTAACTGGACTTACAGTTCAGTAGAGGAAACAGATAGTAAAATAAACAAATGTTTAGTAAGAATTTCTGGTAAGTGCTTCAGAGGATAGGAACAGGTTATGGTAATAAGCATGATTACCATGCTTATTATACTGTAGTCATGAAAAGCCAATATGAATAAACATGGTTTGTTGAGAAGAGTATGCTGGGATGACAGGGCATGGAGGGTACTGTGAAGATTTCCGTGATAGGATTTTAATTTTTTTTGGAGAGTAATGGGAAATTATTTCTGTGTTTTAGGTAAGGGAATAGCACTGACATTTCTGTTTTAATAAAAATTACTCTGCTATATAGAGAATAAGGAGCTCTGGTAGCATAGTGGGTTGCTAGTTGGGCTGTTAACCTCAAGGTCAGCAGTTCGAGCCCACCAACTGCTCCATGGAAGAAAGATAAGGCTTTCTGTTTCAGTAAAGATTTATAGCTTCAGAAACCTTATACAGGGTCACTATGAGTTGGAATTGACTCCACGCTCTTAACCACAGTGTGGAGAATAAACTGTAGGAGGTTAAGAGTAAAGGATTGAATGAGGATCATTACAAAGGGTAGAGGAGATTATTGTGGTAGAGCAGATGGGAGGCTAGTAGAGGCACTTGGGGGAAATGGGACAGAAGTAAGATGTCTTTAAAGCAAAACTGAGCTGCTTAGTAGGTGGTATCAGAAACTGAAAAGTTATGTAAATATATAGTTCCAGTGTTTTTTTTATTAACTATCACTCTAAGACAACAATAATGATGAAGAAGTTGATTGGAGGAGGAACTAGAGAAAATAAACTTATGCTCTTGGACAGCAAAGGAAATTACTAATTTTATCACTAATTCATTTATTGAACAAATATTTATGAAATTCTTCCTCTGTCCCAGGTATACTAATCATAACTCCAATTCTGCTTGAATAAAGAACAGGGAAAAGATATCTTGTACTTTAGGAGCTGAAGTTGGTTTTAGTGCTGTCTTCTGAAAACTGTATATTGTTAGTTTTGTTGACCATAATATGGAGATAAGTAGGGATGTGTGATGCTAAGGTTGGGAAAAGTATAGCTGAAGCAAGTCTTTTCTCCGATCCCCTACTGTTGTAGAGGTTCCCTAATGTTAGCCTTCATTCCATTCAGTTTTACAGTTCTTTCTTGAATAGTTGCTACAGAGAAACTAGGCGGGAGCATGGAATGGTATGGTAGGATGAACATGGGCTTTGAGTCCAAAGGTCTGGCATTCACATTCCACTCCTTAATTCACTAGTTTTGTGACCTTGGGCAATTTCCTCAGCACTGTTTACCTCTTTCCCATGGTGCTTGAGGGAGTAGAGATGGATGCGACAATTCTTAACTTTAAACTTTAAGATCTAAGAGGTGAAATTTTTTAAAAAAGCAATGATAGGGCAAGCAGAATAAAATTCGTATTTAAAGTGATATTCAAACAAAGCTTTTCAGATATTCAAAGAGGGATTCATGTTCAATTGGAAGGAAATCAAAAGGAATCACAGGTATCCTGGCTGAATCATAGACATGAGGAAAGAAGTGTTTTTTCAGGTGGTGGAAAGCACCAATCAATGCAAACCTTACTTGTGTTTATGGAACCATTAGTAGAACTTGAAATTGGTGAAAAACAGGCTCTTGAAGTAGTTTGAAGATACTCAGAGCCTTCAAAGTTAGGGAGATACATATTTATGAATTTGGGGTTTCTCCAGGAGTTTTGAGGGCAACATGTCAATATTTTTGTGGTCCAAACTGAAGGATCTCTCAGGCAAGTTTTGTTTAAAAGATACAATCTCTTGACCTTCTAGAAATAAGTATTTGGATATAGTAACCTAGCTAATCTGTCATATTCTGTCTTGTAAGGCTTCAGAATATTTTTGTGAAGTATTTTGAAAATAAAATCCAAAAGTCGCTATTGAGAAGCTAATTAAGTTGTCAAGGATTTTATTGTACTTGGATCTGCAATCAGTGCCATGGAAGCAGCATTCAGAAAATCAAATGGTGTATTGCATAGAGTAAATCTACTGAAGTAGACTTCTTTAAGTGTTAAAAAGCAAAGATTTTGAAGACTACGGTGCACCTAACCCAAGCCATGGTGTTTTCAGTTGCCTCATGTGCATGTGAAAGCTGGACAGTGAATTAGGAAGACCTACAGAGAACTGGTATATTTGCATTATGTTGCTGGCAAAGAACACTGAATATACCACGGATTGCCAAAAAAATGAACAGATCAGTCTTAGAAGAAGTAAAGCCAGAATGCTCCTTAGAAGTAAGGTTGGTGATTCATCTCAAGTACTTTAGATGTGTTACCAGAAGGGACCGGTCTCTGGAGAACATCATTCTTGTTAAGTGAAAACGAGGAAGCCCTTTGATGAGAGTGATTGACACAGTGACTACAACTGTCGGCCGATTGTAGGGATGGCACAGGACCAGGCAGTGTTCTATTGTACATGGGGTCACCATGAGTCAGAGTTGACCCAATAGCACCTAACAAGGCAACTGGTTACCTGGGAGTTAGAAGATTTTGAGAATGAACAGATGAGGTATTTATTATTTGGCTTCAAGGAAGAATAATACAGTATTTCTTCCTTTTTGCTTATCCTTTAAAGATTAAACTTCTTTTCTGCTGTTGAAATGGGCAAATTACATTAGTACTACATGATTGATTTAAGTAAATGCATTAAGCAATTGAATTGAACTCCGGTGCTCCAGTTCCCAGAAGAATGCTTACAGCTGTGTAGATTTCACAGCTGATGCTAGAATTTGCTTTAAATTAAAAAAAAAAAAAGGAAAACAACAAATTAAAGTTCCCAACTAATGAAAAAGTCATGTGTAACACAAGATTGAAAAGAGGCAAGAAAACTTTCCTGTGAGACCCACCCAGAAATACTATAAATGAAGTAAGCCAGTGGGCCAGGATTCTCTGACAGATTCTTTGTCAGCTTGATTTGTCACTCTGATAATCTTGTATTCTTCCAATGCTTGTAGACTACAGAAATTCCTGGTGAAATAACACTATTGATAACTAATTTACTTTTTGTGAACTACATGATTGATTGACAACCTACATTCTTTTTTTAATCAATAAATAGGCCCATAATTTTAATGCTGATGGGATGCCACTTTAAACAATGTTTAAGAGAGCATAACTAATGTATTTTGTTAAATTCATTAAGCTTATGTCTGCAGTGTATAAAAGACAGTATGTTATATTGGTTCTTTTGGCTTTATAAAGTACACATTTGCTGTATCTTTTTACTTAAGTAAGAAAGTAAATGGTATGTTTTGGATCTGAAATAATGCATCTAAGGATAAATAATGTGCCATTTTATAGCAAGACTTTGAATGTGATTCAGTATTTTTTTAAAAGTGTTTTAAAGAAATGTATAGTTTGTTCTACTATAAAGTAATGGTTGTATTCCTAAAAATTTGCATTTTCAATAATAAGTACTTAACAAGAGTTGTTTCTGAATATAAAAGTGCTCATTGTAAAAATACCATTTTGCTGTGTGTGTTTTGGTGGTGCTGCTGGTTTCTTTGTTCCACATAATTTTCTGTACTGAGTTCCTTTGTTTGTGGGTTTTCTTTTCATTTATGTTGTGTTAGTGTTTACTAAATCTTTCTGATTTTCCTCACTTTTATTTTGATGTGCAGATGTATTCATTTTCTTTGAGTTTACCTTATAATTTATTAATTTTAAATTTAAAACACTCTACTTTATCTTGAAATCTACTTGACTTCCTCACCATTTGGATGTTTTGTATCTACATTATTCCATCTTTTTCTTTATAGTTGGCTTCATTTTAAATTGATATGCCTGGTTTGTATTTTCAGTCTTGTAGGTTTGTTTTACTTTAAATAGTTCTATATCTGAGTTGGGTTCTAGGTGGTGGTGTCATACATGTTAATCTTGGGTTGTTATCTGCTGTTGATGGCTCTCAGTCCAGAGAACACTCTTTAGTACTTTTTGTAAAGTTGCTCTAGCTATTAAAAATTCCTTTAATATCTGGTTATCTGAAAAAGCCCTAATTCTGTCATCGTAGTTGAGGGACAGCTTTGTTAGGTATGTGATTCTTCACTGGCAATTTTTTCGTTCAGAGTTTTCTATATTGTATCATTATGGTTTTGCCTGCATGGTTTTTGCTGAGAAATTAGAGCTCAGTTTTATTGGTCCTCATTTGTAGATAACTTTTTGTTTTTCCTAAGCTACTCTCAGGATTCTTTCTTTGTCTTTGGTTTTGGAAAGTTTGATTATGATATGTCGTGGTGATTGTTACTATTTTTTTTAATTTATCCTGTTCGGGGTGTTTTTAGCTTCTTCTGTGTTTATTTTTTTGTCATTCACAATGCTATTGAAATTTTCTTCCAAAAACTCTTTGACAGTTTTCTCTGTGTTTTTTTTATTGTCTCTTCCTGTTCTGGAATTCCTGTCATTCAGAAGTTATTTGTCTTTATGGTGTCCCACATAGCTCTTTTGCGTTTTTTCAGATTTTCTCTTTCTTTTTTCTGATATTTCTTCAAGCATAATAGTATTGAGAGATTTATC